CTCTTTCATGTTCTCTTCATCATATACAATTATTTTCCATCCATATAAAATTTATATTAAGCTCATATGTTATTCTTCATCATTTACAAATATCAATTTATTTATGACAAGAGTATAGATAGTCCCATTTTGGAGCATCACCTTCTAAATTGTTGGTCCTTTTCAATAACAAACTAGTGCGTATCCCGTGTGATGCACAGATAAATAATATTAAAAACTAATTATAAATTAAAGAGCAGGGTAATCAATATTAAACATAGTTTTTTTGACCCGGACCGGCCCGGTGGGTCGACCCGGAGCCAGAACCAGTCCAGATGGGCTATTTGGACCGGGTCAATAAAGGACCCGGTCAAAATCGGGTCAAACCGGCGACTTCGCCGAAACCGGGGCATTGACCCGACCCATATATATACATATATATATATATATATATATTATTTTATTTTTATTTTTTAAAAATAAAACTGTGTATGTATGTTTATATGGTAAATATTTATCATGAGATACATATTATTAATACTTTAATGTACAAATTTTATACACAAAATATTACTTTTATGTATATTATTCATATGAAAAAAATACTCTATATATAATTTTAAAAATTTAGAAATTAATTATCCGGTTCAGCAAGTGACTCGGTGACCCGACGGTTCATATATTTCAAAATTCTGATGGATGATAATAATGTATAACCGAATCTTAAGGGAAAAAAAAAACAATTAAAAAAGAAAAAATTGTGCGAAAGTGAAACAATGTATTTTTTTTTTAATTAGTACAAAAAAAATCGTCCAACACATCAGGATTTTTTTTTATTATTTGAATTATGTAGAATGTTTCAATAGATTAGTTCAATCTATATAGATAATGTGTATTTGAATACTAAATCCCTTCAGTTAAGGGATTAGTTGTTTCAATAAACTATCCTAAAAACCGTCTCATGCATATCAATTTAAATCATATCGAAATTCAAATTTATCCAAAAAATTATGACGTGTCTTTCTTTGCTTATGCTGTAACAAACTAATATGATATGCATTCAATTAATGCTCTGCGCGAATGATGTCCGAAACTAAGGCAAAAAAAGTTTGCCACTAATAAAAACTAATTAATTATGTCTGCATTTGACCAAGGAGTTGACTTGCCATTTTTAAGAAGTGATTTATAAGGTATAAAAATGTTCAAAAATCTTTTCTCTTTTCCTAGTCTTTCTTTTATAATATCAAATTAATTTCAACACATGTTTTTTTTTAAGAAATGAATAACAAATTTGACATGTGCATAACCGTTCCTCGAGATTAACTATATGTCTTCCACCAACTTGCAGAATCGTCTGAGTTACATGAACCACATCTAGTTCGTTCGACTCGTCGTATCTGCTACGCATCTTCTCCTCAAATGGTGGTGTAAGAACGCTACTACATTTTGTAGAACTAAGGTGTCTTTCGTGGAACCACTTTTGCAGTGTCGCCCTTATATGTTCAATCAGGCCAAGGATTGGAAATTCTCGAGCACGCTTCAACACAGAGTTTAAGGATTCCGAATTATTTGTTGTCATTATGTTGAAACGAGTTGCTCTGAAATGTGCTCGAGCCCACCGGTGCAAACCAGCATCCTCTAGGTATTTTCAGAGTTTCGGGTGCTTACTGCACAATGCTGCCATGTTGTCTTCGAAATGGCGTATCGTGTATGCTTCGGCTGTTGCCCAAAACAATGCATTCAATTCCAACCTTGGAAACTCGGATTTTATGTTTCTCAACAAGTGGTAGTTACAATGTCCGTGATGTGCATGTTCAAACACTTTTTCAAAAGCACCCGGAATACTTGTTCCCCTATCCGAAACTATAACAAGATCAGGGGAATCACCTGTTATGTCTTTCAACTTTTCAAAGAAGAATGTCCAAGAAAGCATGTTCTCGGAGTCTACTATTGCCCAAGCGAGTGGATAAATTTGACCGTTTGCATCCTGACATGTTGCAATGAGCAAAGTACCACGATATCTCCCCGTCAGGAATGTCCCATCCACAGATACTACTTTTCTGATACAAGAGCAGAATCCACGAATGCACGGCCCTAAAGCCATGAAAAAGTACTTGAAATTACCTTCGACACTTGTTTCAATGAAGGTGACCGTCCCCGGGTTTTTTTGCTCCAAAATGTAACAATATTGTGGGAGCTTTGTGTAACTTCCTTCTGGACAACCTCGAATCAGACTACATCCATAATGCTTCGCCATAAATGCTTTCGTGTAGCTGAAACTTATCCCAAACTTCTCTTTCACATAAAAAATAATGTCCTTCGGCTTATAAATCCGATTGGAGTCTTTGTACATTCCGGAAATGTACTTCCCAATAAGCTTGTACGTTGCATGCTTGTGATCTTTCGTACGCACACTCATAGAGCAAGTGTGATCTCCAACATACTTACGCACTTCAAATATCTCACCATTTTTTATCTTCACGGCTCTCAAACGCCAAGGACAGTTACTCTCAATACAAGCAACAACGTACAAAGTCTTTGTTGATTTTATCACTCTAAATTCAAACTGAAACCTCACAGCCAATCCCAAGAGTTTATCTACTAAATCTTTTTTGGTTGAGAAGATATTGTTACATTCAAAATCTTCACTTTCCGGAATTCACACCGAAGATGGACATTGGCGCGGACTCATAGAATGACTTGCATTTGCAAGGACACCATAATCTTCGGTTGAAAAATTCTGACGAGCATCTTCTGTCAACACAACAGTTCCTCTTTGATCTTCCACTTCAACTTCAACATTTTCTTGGATCGGACTATCTCGAATCTCCAACATACGGTCCCAATGGCCTTCCACCCAATCGTGAATTTGGCTATCCCACGTCAGTGTTTCAATAAAATCGGAATTGTTATTGTTGGTTTCTCCCTCAACAAGATTTTCAGTCGGACTATCTCCAATATCAATCAAACTATCTCGATGACCTTCCAGTCCCTCGTGAGTTTCTTTATCCCACGTAAGTGTTTCAATGACCTCACAATTCTGATTGTTCCTTTCTTCCTCAACAGGTTTTGCAACAAGTCGTACGCAAAGATGATGTTCGTCACAAACGGATAGATACCATTTCACATTCACATCATAATCGATCTTCACCGGGGGAACTAGAAATTTGTTCATTCTTGGATTGAGTGATAGCATTTCCATTACATGGGAAGTGCTATTGAACTTTATAAGCTTCATGACCACATCTTCAAGCTCCAAGAAAGATATGTCGTCGGGAACAGAAAGAGGAATTACATTTTCTTCATTTTCCTTCACATATCCCCACGTCCAAGTGCCATCTACATTCTTTTTAAAATCAACATAGTAGCATACTTGTATCCACACCATCTTCGTTAAAATCAATATCTACAAGAAAAAATTATTTGTTACTTCAACAATATAAATATATGTCCTGTCATATGACATATTGCATCTACATTACGTAAGACAATCTAAATTCGATATATCATGGTAAGAAATGAAACTAACAAACATGTATTCTTCACATAACAAATCTAAGTTCGTTATAAAACAATCAC